ACATATACACTTCTATAGTACATGTAACGTTTAGTAAATAATACATAATAATACATAAAACATAATATTACAGTAATGAGTTACTATAATGAGCTTTAAATACCTTTAGTGTAAAGGTGGATTGTATCAATTTTGCTTTATCCTGTTGTGCAACACTTCTTCAAGGTATAATTTTCTCACAATTTCCATAACTGCACTGCGGCAGAAGTTGCGGTGGCCATGGAAACTTAAATGTGGACGCGATCTTAAAAGGTTACTTCATCACTTCTTCTTTGTTTGGAATACAAAAGAACATATTTTGGATAATGTTGCTAACCAAAAAGCAACATTTAATGAAAAAAAAAAAAAATTCCACAGAAAATGAAAATTGTACAGGTTTGGAATGACAGTAAATGATTTTTTAAGGGGGAGTAAATGTTTTTTTTTTGTACTATCCTTTTAAAGGCATTTTTGAACTTTGAACAGTACATTTTGCTACACTCTTAAAAATAAAGGTGCTTCAAACGGTTCTTCAAGCGATGCCATAGAAGAACCATTTTTGGTTCCACAAAGAACCATTCAGTCAAAGGTTCTTTAAAGAACCATCTCTTTCTTACCTTTTTGTAATCTGAAGAACCTTCTTTCACCACAAAGAACCTTTTGTGAAACAGAAAGGTTCTTCAGATGTTAAAGGTTATTTATGGAACCATTTAGACAAAAAGGTTCTTCTATGGCATCGTGAAGCACCTTTATTTTTAAGAGTGTAGTGTGTTTGTTGTTGAATGAGAACCACTGCTCTAGATCAGTTTACAAAAAAAAAAAAAGGCATATAACTGTTATTTTGAATTACTGTATTACAGGCAATTTCGAGATGCTGTATGCATGCGAGTCTATGTACGTCAATGTGCATTTCCTGCAGCTAATGAAGCTGGAATGATGTATGTTAGGTGTGAGTGGCCCTTGCTCTGAGGTATGACTCTATGCTCCATGGCCTGTGCTCATCATCAGTGTAGGGTTGTGGAGCCGGACCTCTGGGCTACGTGTGGAAGCGTGGGGCCCTTGAGCTCTCAGCTCCAGCCCGCACTGATGAATAACACAGTGGGCAAGAGGTCTTTAACTCCTGGGCATCCTCTCCCATTTCACAAGGCCTTGATTGTTACTGGCATCGTTACCTCGCCGGAGGGGTGTGGAGGGAATTGCAGGGTGTCTGTTTTTTAGAGAGCGCTCTATTTCTTTTCCAGCACCTGAGGAGCCGCACGCATACATATGCTCCAGCATCTCTCACGTCTCGGAGAATGATTATATTCCCCGTTTGTTAAAAAGGAAAGTCTGAGGAGGAGTGTTTGGAAGGGAAAAAAAGAGAAAGACTTTAACCTAATGACTCTGTAGCGTTTCAATAGGGGCGAAGAAGAAGTCAACCTCCAGCGAAATGCCTTTGTGCTATCAGATAACCGGCTTCTGAAGACGGGGGAGGACACACTATATGGCCATTAGCATCTCCAAAGGCCGTCACGTTGACTAATAGCCCGGGCCACATCACCACAGTGGCTCAGTTTGTGTTTTTCTCCATTATGTGAGTGACACAAAGGAGCTGAAGACTGGTAAAGACCTGTCAAATGTGCCACCACTGCCGTTGCTCACAAAGCTTTATTTTTCCCTCAAAAGACACTGACTTGTTCTGTCTATGCCCCTTCTGTCATCGGCCCCCAGTCTACCTCACCGCCCGCCTATCTTGGGGAGGGTGACCACGCAGAGTCACTTTGTGAATAAAGCTTGGGAAAAGGAAATAAATTCAGCAGTTCAGCTCTTGGGCTGTTTTGGCCATGTAACCATTTGTTCACAGGCTTGTCTTTTGGGACGGGCCAGCCCCTCTGGGCTTTGTGCTGTCCCGGGCCTACACAGATCGCAGTTGATAAAGGGCTGTAAGACAGGGTGGGATTTTAATTTTTTTACTGCTCTGATATGGCCAAAAGCCAATGACAATTGCAGTGAAGCCATTTGTTATGTGTATAGTTGTACTCTTGATACTTTGAGTTCTTTGACTGTTAATTATTTGGTTGGGATTTTTTTTACAAGATTTTTTACTATTTTGTCTAAAAATACATATTTTAAACAAACTTTATTGTTTTTCTTGTGTTGGTTCTAACCACTTTACCTTATTATCTGTAATGTAGAAATAAAA